TTACGCCGCTTTTAGCAATAGTCCAGCAATATCACGACGGGGAACACCAGAAATGAGCTTCACACATTGTACCCATGTCGGGAATCGAACCCGGGTCTTTGGCGTGACGAGCGACCGCTTTAACCACTAGGCTACCCGATCGCCCCTCCTTGCAATTGTTTATGGGGGTCCCTCCTGCACCTTCTATGTAATTCCTGTCCATTTGATAATGTTATGAATCATTTATTATATTCATTTCTTCGCGTCTTGTTTTGACAAGCCTCCCATATAGTTTGGTACAGTTTCTTTTGATCGTCATTGTATTTATATTTCCAGACTAACGCTAAATTAATAAACAACAACTTTCCTTTCATCAAAAAAAAAAAGTTTCTCATTCGACTCTCTCCATCTTTATTTGACGTAAGAGCTCTTTGTCCACTCAGGGTTGAATAATTCGAGTGAATGAATCTTGCTATTCTGCAGTAGGCAATGTTCCGAGTGACAATAATCGGGTAATAAAAAATAAACAAACAATTCACAGGATGAGATAGGCATGTTACTTGACAAGGAAAGTAAAGCAAATATCTCCAAGAAATGTTTGAATGGCAGCTCAATATGAATTTGCACCAAGCCATCTACATGTCGCACCTTCGCATCGACCCAGAAGAAAGATGAACACGAACTAATCACGTCGTCCATGGCAACCAAATACTCCGGGGTTTCTTCCGGAAGAGGTTTCCCGGTAGGCGTGCTCGAGGTATGGTTCTGCATCGGCCATACCTATTTTCGTTTAACGCTGCACTCAGCAATAGTCGACGGTGCTGATTATCAGGGTATGTAATCGAGAAACCATGACAATATGTTGACTCCGGAAGGGAAAGCACTGAGCCTCGACCCCGCGAAGGGTCGTGTTGATTCTACTTCCGGAAGCAACAGATTAAAGTGAATCCTCCTCCGATGTATCAGTTCTCGGAGTATCATTATTGTGCATGTTGACTTGTAGTTCCGTCAGTTTTATTTCTTTAAAATGCACGTTCAGAATGACCCGTGTATTCCTGGCTCAGAATCAAGTGCGTTATCACAATGGTTTAAATGCAGGAGACGAAGTGACTGTTTACTTAGCGTAGTTCATGATATCAATCACTGGATTGTATGGTCTAGACTTGATTATCTACAGATATCAGTAATAAGGCTGGGATATTGCCGATTGATCCTTAAACAAAAAGCACACTCAACAGACACACTAAACGAGCAGCTCTTATCACTGATACCATAAGGGCGGTCGGGTAGCCTAGTGGTGAAAGCGTTCGCTCGTCACGAAGACACGGGTTCGATTCCCGACATGGGTACACTATGTGAAGCCCATTTCTGGTGTCCCCCGCCGTGATATTGCTAAAAGCGACGTAAAACCATACTCACTCACTCACTGATACCATAGGGGTCAGGGGGCACGGGTGGCCCAGTCGTCTAAGGCGCCGCGATTCGCTGTGCAGAGTTGCGTCCCTTGGGCACGCCAGAAACCTATGATTGTTGGTTCGAATCCCGGTTCGCCCCGATTATGTTTCTAGGTTTGTCAGCACCATACCCGTGCTCGTGGGTTTCACCGAAGTGGTAAACATCTAAGACTTGCATCATTTCGGGCTTTCCTCCCACATTAAGCTGACACGCCGTGATATAACTGTAATACTGTTAAAAGCGGCGTTAAAACCCAACTCACTCACTCACTCACCATAGGGGTCATATATGGAGGCCGAGATGGGACATCGCTCTCTCGCTCTCTCGCAATATTATTCCCTCTTGGCCACTATAGGGGTCGCATGTGTTTCTATACGATAAAAAGTATATACGTAAAACAACATTAAAAGATTGTTAAACCTGACCTCAGTGGGCGGAGGCTGAGGTTGGTTTTAATCATAAAAGAGAGCTGAGATTTTTCCAGTCACATTTCAAATTATACATGTGGATGGAATGTTGAACTATTTTCACTATCTACTTAAACATAATTTAACTGTACAGACGTAGGTGATTTTATAACAATCCACACATTTCTGCGCAAAAGTGAGTGAGCGAACGCTTTAACCACTAGGCTACCCGACTGCCCCTTTGCGCGAAAGGTAATTGATTGATTTATGGCCCTATTTATTTTAATCGATACCCCACCCCGGGCCCAGTTATAAAAAAACCCAGCAAATAACTCCGCTTATTAGCGCTGAGTAATGTACTTCCTCAAAATCTATAGTGGTTTCCGTGTCACTGCGTGTGTGTGTGCGTGCGTGTGTGTGCGTGCGTGTGTGTGTCCGTGCGCGTGCGCGTCCGTGTTCATAGTGAGCCGAGGTGAGGTGAAATGGGGTTTAACGTCGCGTCCAAGATTATTGCACTTATATAGCAACGTGCATGCACGTGTACGTGTGTGTTTGTATGGCTGCTTGTACTAGTCCGGACTGATGCCGATTTACAGTGCTAGCTCACTGAGATACCATGCCGCAGTTTAACATGAATACCCCACTCAGACACAGTATTCTGACTCCGAGCCGACCAGTCCTTGATTTAGCCCCTTAATGCCGAGCGCCAGACAGGGTAACAACAAATACCATCTTTCAACGTCTTTTGGTATGACGCGGTCAGGGATCGAACCCCGGACCTTCCGCCCGCCGGGCGGACGCTCTACCACTAGACCACGGAGGCGGTCTTCCGTGTTCATAGTATGCAAGTCATTTACATAACATAACAAAGCCACACAGTGAATTCGATTTATTTCCAAATTAGTAATCTACACCAGCATCATGTGTCAGGCTACGCAGAAAAATATATGTTTCTCGGGCATTGGAGGTAGGATATTGAAAACAAAAATGATGTGAAAGGGTATCTATATTTTTCCCCAACAAGAACACCAACAAACACAACCGGGCAATTGATCTCGGCTCTACGTACAATGTCAGTTGCCATGTGTGGACAAGTATGCGTCATATGACGAGGGGAACTTGGTGCAGGACCTAGAGACGTCCCGATGCCCGAGATATATTTCCTCGTTATGCCTTAGTGAAAGTTTTTATAACGGAAAGAGTGAGTGAGTGAGTTTGGTTAAACACGGCGTTTAACAGTATTCCAGTTATATCGCGGCGTGTCAGCTTAATGTTGGAGGAAAGCCCGAAGTGATGCAGGTCTCAGACGTTTACCACTTCGGTGAAACCCACGAGCACGGGTATGGTGCTGACAAACCTAGAAACATGATCGGGGCGAACCGGGATTCGAACCCACAATCATAGGTTTCTGGCGTGCCCAAGGGACGCAACTCTGCACAGCGAATCGCGGCGCCTTAGACGACTGGGCCACCCGTACCCCCTATAACGGAAAGACACAGAACCGATGGGCCTATATCAACCATACCGCAACAACCCGGAACTTGACGACACCGTCAATATACGTACTGATGCATTCGTCACCACTCGCCCCTTTCCGTAACCGGCTTGTCCCGGAATAACACGAGTTGGTCACGAATGGTTGCTGATGGAAAGTACCGGCCAAAAGAAAGTATACACCGATGTTTGATGGTCGCTACAAATGAGACAGACAAGAAATGCTTTTTTGATGGTGATGTATTTGATATCATATAGTTGTGTTTTGTATTTCGGCGACTGTTTTCCGTCTCGTGTGTATTGTTTTGGTGAAATCCAATTTTCAAATGTGTACTTTCTTTTGCCCAGCACTTAACATACTGATTAAGATAGGTGTTTTAAATAGAGAATCTCACCCGAGTGTCTTTTGATATCAAATATATCATCACGAGTTGAAAAAAGTGCCAAAACTCCGAGGCTTGCCGAGGATTTTTTCCACATTTATCAACGAGTGTTGATATATTTGATGTCAAAAGACACGAGGGTAAGATTTTATTTATCATCCAACATCATTCTTCCAACTTTTTCACTTTGTAGACAGTAATAAGCTGTGTCTTAGTGTAAAAAGTACTCCATGCAGTTTCAGTAGCAGAGCAATTAGTGATGTCATTTGATTGTGACGTCATGGTATTCAATGACATCACAATGGTCTGCAAAGCATTGTGATGCAATTTCATTGCAGGGATATCTACACTGTAGATATTGCTTGATCTCACCCAAGCGATATCTCCTGTGGGAGCAAGTTTTGGACGACAAAGGCCATTACGACATCTTTGAAGTCGTCTTAACAAATATGTATTTGATAACTGTACCTATATTGACCTTAACATTGCACATTGACAATTAAGAACGAAAAAATCTTTTTACACTCTTAACTATTTATCACATTTTTATTTTATATATTGAAATAATAATATTTGCTACTTTTGATTACATTTAAACTAATGATGATAAATATTGCACCAATACCCGTATTAGAACATAAAGCATATGTAAAGTTAGCATAGGGTAAAGTCAGAAAACGTTAAAAAATACAGTGCATCAGCAGCCGCCACGGATGTAAACTAGGCAGTCACGTACGTACGTACGTTTGGAGTACGGACAGTGGGCTACGTGCGATGAACGTGCTGGATATGAACAGAGTGGTATTGGCGCCCAATCAGGATCAACCGTACGATCTCAACCGTACGATTAAGGAAACGGCATGGTGGTCCAGTTGAACTGAACTGTCTTTGCATAGTTACGCCAGGTTGATCTGCATTGGTTCGAACCCCAGAATGGATTCCATTATTATCCTCAATGTACTGATGGGTTTAACCCTGGGAATTCCGCCCACTTCAGGTTGACACGCCTACTCATGTACTTACTGAGGTACTGTCCCTTACACCTTTGAGGAAAGATAACTCCATATGTTGGAGGGAAGTGTTTGATGAATTAGATTTGTATTGAAAATGTATTGTTGTTGTTGGTTTGTTGTCAAACGCCACACTCAGCAATAGTTGACGGCGGTCTGTAAATACTCGAATCTGGACCAGACAATCTACTGATTGACATCATGAACACCCATCCACTCAATTGGAATACGATGACATGTACCAACCAAGTCAGCGAGGCCTGACCACCTGATCCCGTTAGTCTCTAAGTCGCCCTTTGATGCAAGCATGTGTTGCTGGAGACCAATTCTACCCCGGATCTTCACGGGTTTTTAAAAATGTAAAACTTTAAACATTAGATGATAAAAATAATTATCTATGAATCTAGATTGTAGATATCAGTATACAGTTTCAATGAAGACTGCATGCCTAACAGAGGAGGTTTCATAATGATACTCCCAGAAATGGCCAAAGTGATATTTTCAACATGGCGGCCGTAGTGGCCATGTTTAATCTCGGATAAGAATTCTGTAAGCAAAGTCTACCATCTCTGGTGTCATTGTAAAATCCGAGGACAAATTCATGGTTTCAGAATGTCGGCGTATTCTATTAACTAATATAGATTCCGACCTTGCAGGACTCCCTAGGTATCCCATAGAACGATTGGTCAGCTGAGAATGTCTGTTACCACGGCCAGACACAGCAGCCGTGTGTATTCACGGGTGCTGGAGGGATGTAGACGACGTAGTGAAGTTTTGATGATGATCACAAACTATGCATGTGATGAATTTGTGTCCGGTATTTCAGATCCGGACGGATACGGGCTTGATTCGAGTTCCTTCCGGTTCTGCGGTACGTTCTTACAAGGGGAGATAGCATCGTAGAACAACTTCTTGTAGGCCATCTTGAATCTGTTGTTCATAAAGCCATAGATGATGGGATTGCATCCGCTGTTGGCGTACCCGAGGAGAATGGTGAACATGTCCGACCCTCGTTTAACGCTGCTTGGTAGGAACACAGACAGAAACATCGTTACACAAAATGGCAGCCAACAGGCCACGAAAACGAATATGACAACGAGCAGGGACATGGCTAACCGGAACTCCTCTTGGCGCCTGCGCGCTGCCTTCTGGGAACGCATTGTTGCTATTTTGGTTCTAACCTTCGAACTTTCGTCTTCCGGCACTGTTAGGAATATAGTATTTTGAACAGAAGGCTTGTCAAGAAGATTAGACGTTTTGTCTTTCTTGGGCTTTTTTATTGATGGTGGTTTTGAGCTGGGCGCTGAAGGCGGTTGCGAGGATGAGCTGATACGAGACTTGCTTGCTCGGAAGATTCTTAAGATCTTGATGTAGCAGAATGTCATCACAGAACAGGGTCCCCCGAAACATACTCCAACCATGAAGAACGTAAATGAAACTGACGTCGGCCAATCACAGAAGCAGAAAGACTGCGTCGGTATGTAATTATATGTTCCCCAGCCAATCAGCGGAGGTAGAGCAAGTAGACCCGAAAAACACCACACACCTGGAATATAGAAGCACATGTTTTACGCGTTGTAAGCGTCATTTTTTAGTGACATTTGTATCTGTATGATTAAAACTAATATCGCTATATACGTTTGTTCGCCATCCAGAGGAGGTTACACAACAGCTTTTTTTTCAAGAAATAAACGACGAGTGAGAGTAAAACCATGAGGGGCGCCTGTTCTCCCGTTGTAATAATACCAAACAGAACGGTGCATGACCGTCAGCCGTTTTATTCTAACTGCAGTGTTTTATTGTACGATAAACAACCGCACGAGTCGACTATTTGTTATAAGAGATATCAACATAATGTACATCGTCTTTAAGGATGTTAATGAAATGTAAACGCTTTATACATATTTACTCGCATTTAAATGATGATAACTCCCTGAATATAATCCGACCCTGGCAATGTCGGACAGGTCCATGTCATGAACAGGGGGATGAATTTGGGTGTTTCCCCGATATTCTCACAATTTTCACGTCCACCCCCACCCCCCCTTTAATTTCGAAAAAAATCTTTATTTCTGTATATATTACCGCCAAAGACAATAAATAGATCTTAATTGTGCACCCCCCCCCCCCCCCCCCCCCCCACCCCCCCCCCCCCCCCCCCTTTTAAAAAAAGTTGTATCCGCCCATGTTATCGGTACCTTTTCTCCCAATACCGATTGTTATATCTCTTCCACCTTTGGGTGCGACCGTTCGGCCACTGCGTATATCTACGTAGCCCAGCTACATCTATAGACAACAACTCGCTAGACATTTCCCTCCCGAAAATAACGTCGTCCAATATATGACGTCATCAAGTTTATTACGTTGTTAGAATCTCCAGAAAGGCCAATGATAGAACAGAGATTTGTCGTGAAATGGTTTTTGGTTTGTTGTTTAACACCGCACTCAGCAATATTGCAGCTATATGACGGCGGTCTGTAAATAATTGAGTCTGGACCAGACAATCCAGTGATTAATATCATGAGCATCGATCCACGCAATTGGGATCGATGACATGCATCAACCAATTCAGCGAGCCTGACCACCCGATCCCGTTAGTCGCCTTTTACGACAAGCATAGTCGCCTTAAAATTACGGCAAACATGGGTTGCTGAAGACCTATGTTACCCCGGATCTTCACGCGTGTTTCTAAAGGGGAGCTCAAAAGGATTAAGAGAAATTGGTTATAAAGAAAGTGTTACACTCACATGTGTGTCAAACTAATTTTACGAAACTCGTGAAAGAATTCAAGTAGTACCCTCGCTCTCGCTCGGGAAATACAATTGGGACCCTGTTCAGACACTCGTTACACTTAAATAGCGACGTGCATGCACGTGTGTGCGTGTGTGCGTGTGTGGCTGCTTGTACTAGTCCGGACTGATGCTGATTTATAGTGCTAGCCCACTGAGATACCATGCCGCAGTTTAAAATGAATACCCCACTCAGACACAGTATACTGACCCCGAGCCGACCAGTCCTTGTTTTAGCCCCTTAATGCCGAGCGCCAGACAGGGTAACAACAAGTACCATCTTTTAACGTCTTTTGGTATGACGCGGCCGGGGATCGAACCCCGTACCTTCCGCTCTCCGGGCGAACGCTCTACCATAAGACCACGGAGGCGGTCCCTCGTAAAATTAGTATGACACACATGTGAGTGTATAATGATCTCCATATCTTAATAATTTATCTGATATAATAATACTATTATATGTCATTGATGCAGAGGAGAACGAGGCTTCGGTTCAAACGATGCCATTGTGAAACTGGTCTTATGTAGTACGTAATTCTCCACACACATATAACGGGATAAATGTCCGAATACCTTTATCATCATGAAAGACATTAGTGCTGTATAACGGTCACTAGACGTCCCATGTCGGTCATCTTGCATCAATGGTCAAGCACATTGGTCCTCAACAAGCGATTGCGTGACCCTCTCGTTATAATGATTATGTCCTCATTAGACCAACGAGAAATGTACGTGGATTATTACAGATTAAATAAAGCTGTGGTATTGCAATGAAAGCTTTTCAGCTCATTAAAAGTAGTCCTTGGTGTAGTATGCGCGTTAATGTGTAGTAATTAATATAAATCAATCTTTACTTGATGGAGCTTCGTGAGTGCATATTTTTATACAGTTGCTATCACACTTCTTCATATATATATTGATTGATTCGTTGATTGATTGGCGTTAGTTTCAGAGGCAGATCGATTCACTGTCGTCACTTCTTGTTGGTGAGACTGCTCTGTCCAGGACGTTATTAATATTATTTTTCATGTTTTATAAAATGCAATATATATTTCACAATATTTAAGTGAGTGAGTGAGTGAGTTGGGTTTAACGTTGCTTTGAACAGTATTTATATTCCAGTTATATCACGGCTTGTCAGCTTGATGTGGGAGAAAGGCACGTGATGCCGGTCTCAGATGTTTACCACTTTGGTGAAACCCACGATCACGGTTATGGTGCTGTCAAACCTAGAAACAAAATCGGGGCGAACCGGGATTCGAACCCACAGTCTTAGGTTTCAGGCGTATCGCGGAGCCTTAGACGACTGGGCCACCTGTGGCCCCGACAATATTAAGAAACAAACCTAGAAACATAATCGGGGCAAACCGGGATTCGAACCTACAGTCTTAGGTTTCTGGCGTGCCCAAGGGACACAACTCTGCACAGCGAATTGCGGCGCCGTAGACGACTGGGCCACCGTGCCCCTGACAATATTTTTGAAGAGTCGATACAACAGTTTGTGAAAGGAAGTCTGTATTTTGTGGTTTGTCCATTTGCATGCAGTACGATAATGGGAACGTGACACAACCACGGCTCGCGACTTTTTAGGCGAAATGCAGATCATTGGAGCACCAGTCCCCTTGAGACCCCTTACCAAACTATTTATAGAATCTATCAGTCGTTCTGTGCAGCCGTTTCTCATTACTCAGAATCAAAACCAGAATCTAGCTATCTAATTTTTATTTTTTATTGTGATGTTTATACGATATACCTTTTTACCCGGACGAGACATCGAAACTTACATTCATCAGCTTATTAACGACACATTTTGACGTTCATACTCTTTTCATCAAACTGTATTCTTGAAGTGACGTAAACACCCACTGACTACTTTCGCCTTCCTGGGGAAAACCCAGGGGAAATCCCCACTACGAGTAAATACAGAAGAGTCACTTTGACACTTTAAACTTCAACTCAGCGTTTTCGTACATGTTGGAATAAGAGTGTTTGACTGCTCGTCACTGATCTATTACCCTCGCTACGATCCATCCCAGTGAACAAAATGAAGAAATGCACGCAAAAACTATCTATCGAAACATGCTACAACATTCCAAGAATTTTCACAGTATCTTTTCGACACGTCTTTATATTGCACGCTCGGCAACTTGATCAATAATTCATAATCGCCACGGGGGAATGGGTGGGCCTAGTGGTCAAGCGTTCGCTCGTAACGCCGAAGACCCGGGTTCGATGCCCCACATGGGTACAACGTGTGAAGCCCATTGATAGTGTCCCCGCCATGATATTGCTGAAATGTTGCTAAAAGCGGTGTAAAACCATACTCACTCACTCACTTCTAATCGCTACAGGTTCAGTGATAACTCCGGAAATCTCCCCGTCGCTTTGATCGTGTCGGCCTATTTGACGTTAATGTATTACGACGCACTGTCACTGTGACTTGCTCAGAGATGATGATATTAGTTAAATCTATTTGTTGTAACTGTCAAACAGTTTGAGTATACATACGCTCATATCAAGTGTTGAGGAACTATTTTATTCCACGATACAGCTGCTTGATATGTTGCGCTCGGTATAAACACGAAGTCACACCTACTAGATAAAATTATGTCTACATCCTTTGGGATACAAAATAGGGTATTGCAAAAATTGACGTTTACTTTGTGTGAATTCATAGGAGTATGATTTTGTTTGTTTGTTGTTTAACGCCACAGAAATATTCCAGCTGTATAACGGCGGTCTGTAAATAATCGCGTCTGGACGAGACAATCCGGCGATTGACATCATGAGCATCGATCCACACAAAGAGCATACATTGGAGTATGAACTTTCATAGGGTCTCTCGTGGTTTACATGCCCATTCTCCTCATAAAGATCCCCTTCTCCCCGCAAATTACACTCCCATCATATGATGTCATAAAGAGTGATGTGACATTACAGGACAACGAAAATGATGTAACTGTTTGATTTGTCACTAGCGGGGTGTGACTTCGGAGTGTGCACGCCGGGGTGTGTCCGATACGCCCCACTAACGCTACAGGTGTTTTTTTTAACGCCGCACTCAGCGATGTTCCAGCTATGTGACGTCGGTTTTTAAATGATCGCACCTGGACCAGATAATTCAGTGATAGGCTTCACGAGCATTGATCTACGCAAATGGGATACGATGACATGCATCAACAAAGTCAGCTGGCCTGACCACCCGATCCCGTTCGTCGCCTCTTACAAACATGGGCTGTAACGACACAGGGGCGGTGGATTAGTCTAGTGGTTAAAGCGTTCGCTCGTCACGCCCGAAGGCCCGGGTTTGATTCCCTATGGGTACACTGTGTGAAGCCCATTTCTAGTGTGATATTGCTGGAATATTGCTAAAAGCGGCGTAAAAACATACCCACTCACTCACTCACTCACTGTAACGACACAGACATCGTCATACCCACCTCCGACCATGAAGACTATATTCCTCGGTGTGTAGACTGTCCTGTACCGATGTGACTGACATATCTTGATGTAGCGGTTGAAACTGATGATTCCGAGGGACATGACGCTACCGACGAAGGTGATCATGTTGGTGAAGCCGGTCACGGTACACGTCAGCGCCGAGAAGTACCAATCTCCGTTGAAAATTGTGAATATCGTCACTGGCATATTAACGCCAGAAACCAATATGTCCGCGAAGGACAAACACAACACCAGATAGTTCGATTCATTCCGAAGGTCACGTGATCTCAGGATTACAATCCAAAGGGAAATATTGCCAAACAAGGCCACTATTAGAATTAAGATCAGAATACCGCCCTCTATGGCCCTTTCCACCCATGGTATCACCAGGGGGAGATCACTCTGCGTGTCTAACAAAGCGCTGGCATTGGTCATGGCCTGGGCATCATCAGTGTCGCGTGCACTTCCTCATAGAACAGATCGGCCTGAACTAAAACAGATAGAAAATTAATTAGACATCTTCTCAAGTAAACTGTGTGTGTAGTTCCGCAGGTGAGGTGGGGTGAGGTGAGGTGTGGTGAGGTGAGGTGAAATGAGGTTTTTAACGTCGCGTTCAGGAATATTGCACTTATATAGCGACTTGCATGTGTGACTAGTGCCGGTTTTATAGTGTTTACACACTGAGATACCATGCCGCAGTTTACCATGGATACCCCACTCCGACACAGTATGACGACTCCGAGTGGGCCACCAGGCAGGGTAACGACAAGTACCATTTTATGACACGGCCGGGTATCGGACCACCAGTTTCCCCTCTCCGTCTTGAGCAAGGCAAAATAGCAAGCTGGGACAAATAAATAAAGTTTAATGATTTTTCATCGCCTTTTCATGTAAAACGCTTGTCAAACCGAAATATACTGTTCCTTTACTTGATATAAACAAATAAATAAACGTATGTGTATCACAGTACAATCATCTGCAACTGGAAAGAGACGTTGGCAATATCATACCGTCGGAATATCAGTCTGAAGAATTCACTGGTATCCTAATACCAGCGTTCCGGACATTTGGAAAATAGATTCAAAGAAGACGCTTCGTTCTACAATGGGTTGTTCGCAAGCCCATGTTCGCTCCACGACGGACCGAAGGAATTGACTTTCTGAAAATATTTTGATATATTCTGGAATATTATATAAAACAATAAAATGTCTCAAAAATAATGATTTGGACTTTTTACATAAAAATCTATCTTGATGGATGGGCATGCTGGATGTTCTGAACAATAATGAGTTGATAAAAACATAGACGGTCAAGCTTCTGTTTTCACTATAAAAAATCTAACATCATTCTGTTTTGTCTCTGACAATAACCTACGTGACTAAAACATTATTCTGTTCTCCCTCTAACAATAATGTTTGTGACGGAAGCATTATTCTGTTCTCCATCTAACAATAATGTATGCGACTGAAACATTATTCTGTTCTCCCTCTAACAATAATGTTTGTGACGGAAGCATTATTCTGTTCTCCCTCTAACAATAATGTACGCGACTGAAACATTATTCTGTTCTCCCTCTAACAATAATGTTAATGACGGAAGCATTATTCTGTTCTCCCTCTAACAATAATGTTTGTGACGGAAGCATTATTCTGTTCTCCCTCTAACAATAATGTATGCGACTGAAACATTATTCTGTTCTCCCTCTAACAATAATGTTTGTGACGGAAGCATTATTCTGTTCTCCCTCTAACAATAATGTATGCGACTGAAACATTATTCTGTTCTCCCTCTAACAATAATGTTTGCGACTGAAACATTATTCTGTTCTCCCTCTAACAATAATGTTTGTGACGGAAGCATTATTCTGTTCTCCCTCTAACAATAATGTTTGTGACGGAAGCATTATTCTGTTCTCCCTCTAACAATAATGTATGCGACTGAAACATTATTCTGTTCTCCCTCTAACAATAATGTTTGTGACGGAAGCATTATTCTGTTCTCCCTCTAACAATAATGTTTGTGACGGAAGCATTATTCTGTTCTCCCTCTAACAATAATGTATGCGACTGAAACATTATTCTGTTCTCCCTCTAACAATAATGTTTGCGACTGAAACATTATTCTGTTCTCCCTCTAACAATAATGTTTGTGACGGAAGCACTATTCTGTTCTCCCTCTAACAATAATGTTTGTGACGGAAGCACTATTCTGTTCTCCCTCTAACAATAATGTATGCGACTGAAACATTATTCTGTTCTGTGTTTAACAATAATATACGTGACTGAAACATTATTCTGTTCTGTCTCCGACAATAATGCAGTTGACTGAAACATTATTCTGTTCTGTCTCTAACAATAGTCCCAGGCGCCTGACAAATTGATCTTGTTTTAGCGACATATATGCTGAATATTGATCATTCATATTCTCGGCGACGACCGAATATTCATTTGTAATCGTGATTGCAATACATATTATATCCTTCCCATGGCAATTTACCCCCTGTGTTTGTAATAATACCCCGCGTTAAAACCTGAAATTTGCAGACCCGAAAATTTCATTCGGAAAATTTCCGAGGATGTAATACTCCAATAACACCCGCATTGACATTGTAAAATTCAAAAGTTATGTCGCTCTCCCTGTCACGCTAGAGATTTCTTGGCATCCAATCATATTTAGAATCCTGTTCTACAAATCCGATTGTCTTCAGTGAAACGAGCACCTGCGGGATTCAATGACTGAGTGTGGTTTGCTGCTGGAAGCAATATCCCAGCAACACCACGGCTGGGGACACCAGAAATTGGCTACACAAATGGTAACCAAATGTGGAGAATAGAACCCGGGCCTTCTGCTCGAAAAACGAACACTTTAACCACTAAGCCACCCCGTACCTGCAAAAGCCGGATGCAGTCAAATGTATGTTTCTGTGTCTCTACCATCCTCGCATTTTTAAAATGCGCATTTATGTCTAAAATCAAGAGCTCGCATTATTTTCATGTCGCATGAAATTCCTGTTTTACAGTATTTGACGTTTGAGATGGGTTTTTTAATTATCATGTTACAAACAATGTTTGGTTTGTTTGTTTTTTGTTTAACGCCGCACTCAGCAATATTCCAGCTATATGGCGGCGGTCTGTAAATAATCGAGTCTGGACCAGACAATCCAGTGATTGACATCATGAGCAGCGATTTACTTAAATGGAATACAATGTACATCAACCAAGTCAATGGGCCTGGCTATCCGATCCCATTCGCACGTCCACAATTAGCGAATGACTGCATTTTGTTTCCAATCAAGTGGCATCTTTCAAAGAGTGAGTAAATACTGTTTTACGCCGCTTTTAGCAATATCCTAGCACTACAGCGGGGGACATCAGAAATGGGCTTCATGCGGTCGGGTAGCCTTGTGGTAAAAGCGTTCGCTCGTCACGCCGAAGACCAGGGTTCGATTCCCTCATGGGATCATTGTATGGAACCCATATCTGGTGTTCCTCTCAGTGATAGTGCTGGAATCATTCGTCACCACTCGCCCCTTTCCGTAACCTGCAAGAAGACTCGTCCCCCTATCGATGAATGTTATGTGCGAAAATACGACAAACCAATCAGAATGCGCGAATGATTTCAAATTCTTCGTCAAAGAATCCGTCAGAAATAGTTTTTGATTTTACATATGTCTAGCATCTAAAAATATACCAAAGACACAGTTAAATGTGTTCAATCATACTGTGTAATTCCGCACGTCCCGATGTGCTTTAAATTGCATCTGAAATATATATAATATATTTGGAAAATGTGTGAACGATTACGCAACGAGTTAACAATTGTTTTAGGTATGCCCGTTTGCGCTAAAACGGAACCCGGTCGCAAAAATGGCCACGAGAGGGGCACGAGTCGCTATTCGGCTTGTCCCGGAATAACACGAGTTGGTCACGAATGTGCTGGAATATTGCCGAAAGGGGCGTAAAACCAGACTCACTCACTCACTCACCAAATGTTACGTTGTTCCGTTCAAGGCATACTATAACAATCAACATACTGACACTCGCTATTAACAATCTGTCAATATACAATAACAAGACCCACGCTGAACCCTTCATCCGTAGCATTTATTCACAAATCCACAACAATCGGAAACATTTATATAGGAACTATTTCAAGTAAGATCAGCAGATCGCGGATCGATACATTTTGGTGCACTTACTTCCGACGTGTGAGTGACAAGGCTTAGCTTGAAGGTAGCAGTCGCCATGATTTGATGGCGGTAATTGACGATAATAACAGGATTAACTATGTGATTTCGCCGCCATTCATGCGTAGACTACACAGAACACGACATTGCCTTTTTTTCACATCGCGATTTTTCCCCGGCGATTGTTTTGTCGGCATCTTGTGAATGCTAGCCATGCGAATCTAGTGAATGGTTAGGAATGACGTTAATTGTTGTGTTTGATATCATTACTTGCACGATAGTTGGGATGGTTCGTCTATCGAATTGTTGAGTTAATTTAGTTGTTGCCATAGTTACGTGTAAGGTATAGCGTGCAATTAACTGTTACATGGCAGTGCAACAACACAGTTTAATTTCAATCGTTACACGTGCAATTTCGACCCATCATTTAATCATTTGATTGGCTGTGTAGCAACTAAGAACATTGTAACAATCATGTAGGGTGGATTGTGTCATTGTAGGAATTCACGCAACACTGGCCACTGGTTTTCACACTCTGTGAGTATAATGCTGAATATACTTAATATACCACTGAGAACACATTCACGGTGAATATACCACTGAGAACACATTCACGGTGAATATACCCGTATACTATTGAGAACACATTTATTGTGAATATACTACTGAGAACACAAGGTGAATATACCCGTATACTACTGAGAACACATTCATGGTGAATATACCACTAAGAACACATTAACACTGAATACTCCACTGAGAACACATTCACGGTGAATATACCACTGAGAACACATTCACGGTGAATACACCCGTATACTACTGAGGACACATTTATTGTGAATATACCACTAAGAACACAGGGTGAATATACCCGTACACTACTGAGAACACATTCACGGTGAATATACCCGTATACTACTGAGGACACATTTATTGTGAATATACCACTAAGAACACAGGGTGAATATACCCGTATACCACTAAGAACACATTCACCGTGAATATACAAGTGAGAACACATTCATGGTGAATATACTACTGAGAACACATTCACGGTGAATATATTACTGAGAACATATTCACAGTGAATATACCACTGAGAACATATTCACGGTGAATATACCACTGAGAACATATTCACGGTGAATATACCACTGGAAACACATTAACGTTCAATATTCCACTAAGAACACATTCACAGTTAATATACCACTGAGAACACATTCACAGTGAATATACCACTGAGAACATATTCACGGTGAATATACCACTGGAAACACATTAACGTTCAATATTCCACTAAGAACACATTCACGGTTAATATACTACTGAGAACACATTCACAGTGAATATACCACTGAGAACACATTCACGGTTAATATACTACTGAGAACATATTCACGGTGAATATACTACTGAGAACACAATCACGGTGAATATACTACTGAGAACACATTATTATTATCATTATACCGCAGGTATCCAGGTACTGGTATCTGCTCAAAAGTGGTTTCGTTTGTTCCCCGACCAGTTCCCCGACCAATAGTACCTTCTGTATCGGGCGCCTTTGATAAAACAATCTCTACAGCAATACTGCTTCCCCGACCAGTTCCCCGACCAATAGTACCTTCTGTATCGGGCGCCTTTGATAAAACAATCTCTACTGCAATACTGCTTCCCCGACCAGTTCCCCGACCAATAGTACCTTCTGTATCGGGCGCCTTTGATAAAACAATCTCTACAGCAATACTGCTTCCCCGACCAGTTCCCCCGACCAATAGTACCTTCTGTATCGGGCGCCTTTGATAAAACAATCTCTACAGCAATACTGCTTCCCCGACCAGTTCCCCGACCAATAGTACCTTCTGTATCGGGCGCCTTTGATAAAACAATCTCTACAGCAATACTGCTTCCCCGACCAGTTCCCCGACCAATAGTACCTTCTGTATCGGGCGCCTTTAATAAAACAATCTCTACAGCAATACTGCTTCCCCGACCAGTTCCCCGACCAATAGTACCTTCTGTATCGGGCGCCTTTGATAAAACAATCTCTACAGCAATACTGCTTCCCCGACCAGTTCCCCGACCAATAGTACCTTCTGTATCGGGCGCCTTTGATAAAACAATCTCTACAGCAATACTGCTTCCCCGACCAGTTCCCCGACCAATAGTACCTTCTGTATCGGGCGCCTTTAATAAAACAATCTCTACAGCAATACTGCTTCCCCGACCAGTTCCCCGACCAATAGTACCTTCTGTATCGGGCGCCTTTGATAAAACAATCTCTACAGCAATACTGCTTCCCCGACCAGTTCCCCCGACCAATAGTACCTTCTGTATCGGGCGCCTTTGATAAAACAATCTCTACAGCAATACTGCTTCCCCGACCAGTTCCCCGACCAATAGTACCTTCTGTATCGGGCGCCTTTAATAAAACAATCTCTACAGCAATACTGCTTCCCCGACCAGTTCCCCGACCAATAGTACCTTCTGTATCGGGCGCCTTTGATAAAACAATCTCTACAGCAATACTGCTTCCCCGACCAGTTCCCCGACCAATAGTACCTTCTGTATCGGGCGCCTTTGATAAAACAATCTCTACAGCAATACTGCTTCAATGTGTTTGGGAGAGCAGATCATTTGGGAAGAGAACTGCGTGTAAGGACCCATCAGACATACATATTTCATGCCCCATTCAGAGACAGGTGGGAGCGACGGGTTCCCACAATTCCTCTCATTTCCGGTTGTACGTGGCCGAACGTTATCAACATGTACGTTCTTTTTGGGGCATTATCTTTGTAGGAAACAAGTGTTCAATCGAAGGTGTTTTAATTACAACACCCAACACATTCGATCAGCACACTCATTTAAAACTGTGTGCTATGCTTAAATACTTAAGGCTTGCAGCGGGGCTGTCTAAGATTAGCTAATATAGATAATGAAACAAACTGCTTTCTAAAGTAGGCTACATCGTGTTTAGTGAGAGTTCAACCGGTGTAAAAGATTCTTTTTGTATACATGCTGATGTACTTGATCATCGACTTGGGTTGCTATGTTTGGTCGAAATTATAGGTTCGACAATTATACAATTATATAGATTGTAATTACGTAGCTTGAATCATTGCACACGAGCTTGCAGACACAGAGTACCCTATACTCTCAAAAATCTATGATCACGACATTCATCTAATATTTTTTCTAATGCAGATTTCATAGTTAGACATGCCCATTTGTTTGTTCGGCAGTCACGTGCAGGGAAAATGGAGGCAACGAGATACAGAACACAGTGTCAGGTGATGTTCACCATCGGTCGGCTTACAATGTTTTGAGGAGAGTATTATGTGAAAACTTTGAAAAAACTGCAACACATGCTACAAACAACCAGTCTAATTATACAGTAAACTACGGTTATAACGAACTCAAAAGGACTACTAATTTTAGTTCGTTATAACCGTAGTTCGTTATAAGCATATATACAGCATAACTACAGCAAATAGTCGGGACCAAAAAGTAAGTTCGTTATATCCGTCAGTTCGTTATAAGCGTCTTCGTTTTAACCGTAGTCTACTGTACATCGCTCCATCCCTTATTGTCAGCACCAAACTCGGGCTTGTCCGTTTAACTAAAGTGTCTGTTTTGTTTGTTTGTTTGTGTGCTGTTTAACGCCGCACTCAGCAATATTCCAGCCATATGACAGCTGTCTGTAAATAATCGAGTCTCGAACAGACAATCCAGTGATTGATATCATGAGCATAGATCAACGCAATTGGGATACGTTGACATGAATCAACCAGGTCAGCGAGCCTGACCACCCGATCCCGTTAGTCGCCTCTTACGACAAGCATAGTCGCCTTTTACGGCAAGCATGGGTTGCTGAAGACCTATTCTACCCCTGGTGGTAAAGAAAGATCTACATCAAGAATGGTTTTCATATCGGGAATCAATCCCTCTTCATGACGACGAACGCTTTAACTCCCCCCCCCCCCCCCCGCCCCCCTCCAATCTCTCTCCCCCACCCCCAACGTGCGTGAACCCCACCCAAAACAAATGGCCAAAATATATCCAAATATATTTATAAAAAGCCGAAACATAAACAAAGAATGTAATAAAAAACAATCTCAAACCAATACCAACAAATGAAAATCAAAACCCCAAACACAACACATCTACAGTAAAATACGTTTATAACGAACACGCTTATAACGAGCTGACAGATATAACGAACTTATGTTTCGGTCCCGACCATTTGCTGTATATTTGCTGTGTATGTGCATATATCAAACTGCGGTTATAACGAACTAAAATTAGCGGTCTCTTTGAGTTCGTTATAACCGTAGTTTACTTTTTTTTGCACAGGGTGAGCTACAGTGCCATCGGCTTTCTATTCTGAGCCACTGTTGGTGTTCATTTAACGCATTAACGAGCAATTCAAGCTAAGCATCAGCAGTGGGTGCGTTAAGGGTCAGTGCGTCACCATCAAGGTGTATGTCGATACAGCAAGTCATTCAGGATCAACCATGGAGAGTAACCGCTCATGTTTCATCAATAATATCAACATCCTATAAACCGGGTACCGATATTAAAACTGGTCACTACTGGGGTCAATACTGATGTCAATATTGACGTGAGTACATATCAAAATACTGATGTCAAGTCTGTTGTGAATACCTATGTCGGTATTGGCATGAATATTTATAAAAATACTGATTTCAATTCTGGTGTGAATACTGATGGTAAAACTGAGTGAGTGAGTTGGGTTCTACGCTGCTTTTAACAGTATTCCAGTTATATAACGGAGTGCCAGTTTAATGTGGGAGGAAAGCCCGAAGTGATGCAGGTCTCAGACGTTTAAAACTTTAATTAAAACCCATGAGCACGGTACGGTGTAGTCTGTCTTACAGACCCTGATACAAATATACATCAAATACAGCCCATGCAAGTCTATAATGTTTGGCAAGTCTAGATTACTGCAGTATCTGAAAATGAAGAGAGTCACTTGGCTCCCTGTTATTATATTTTTATCAAGATAACTGAACAACTGTTTTTTCTGCACGATATGTTCATTTCAGAGACTAGATGTTAGTCTAGGTACGGTGCTGACAAACCTAGAAACATGATCGGGGCAAACCGGGATTCGAACCCACCGTGATATGTTTCTGGCACAACTAAGGTGAATTGCGACGAGTCGTGCCCCTAAGAATGAAACGAAATCAACATATAACTGAACCCGTACAAATGATAAACAAACTGATAATACGTCACGAAGTGGGGAGACGCCATCATTCAGTCCAATACAAAACACAAAACTGTACTAATATATTACATGTATTTTCAAATAGATCGCAGCAGATGTTTACTCACACGTGATTAAAGTAATATCTGCTAAAAACACAATGGAAAAACGTCATGGTATAAACACATCTGTACCATGTACCATGTATAGAATATCCACCGACCGAAGCGTGAAAACAAACGTCACTATCTCCACATAGCCGAGAATTAAGCATACAACCCTTAAAATCATATACAGCTCAGTCAACAATAAAGGAAATATCACAGATTCAATATGAAACAGGCCACGTGTTTAAAAGTAAAACATATCAAGACAACCACATCTTATTTCAACAAATATTCTCAATTTACAATACAGACCAAATTCCTTTTAAAAAATTCACAGATCGATGAGCAATCACACAGTTTCAACACGCCGTAAAGAAACGCCCCAAACCATCAACGAAACACGTTTCCTCGGGCATGTTTGAGAAACAAAATCAAGATACTCACAGTGGCGACACAGCTAGTCAATACAGTGATCAGATTGAGGGGGCCGCGGCAACACCGTGTACGACGTACACTGCTGTCATTGGCCACAGCGTCGACGATATTGAGGACGAGCTTGTCACGCTAGGGCTGTTAGGTCGGGTTCGGCTACCATCCATCACGTTACATACCTCCAATACCTACACGACCGTCCAGACAGTCACAAGTTGTAGATGATGCGTGACCTACTAGCGTGACACATATCGTCAGACTTTGGGCGCTGTAGGTAGATATCTTGATCATTATAATAGTTAGGTGATGTGAGGCTTTTACAGCCATTTACCAGACAGATACGCTTCAGTTAGTCGTTTGCTTGATTTATTAATCCTGTTAGTGACCCTCCTTTGTTGTGATCGTAGTGTCTGTAGATATTATTTTTATTTCTATCGGATCGTGAGAATGTTGTTCACAGCTGTACGGGTTGAGATTAAGGACTGTACTTGTCTAATTTATATGATAAATAACGTTGCCTCCACAGTCACATTGTATACGTTATATTATTGTTATCCACGTTTGTAATCTGTTTTGAAAACAGATTCGCTTTTAAAATTAATTTGCAGACTGAAAGAAGTTCACATTTGACATTATAATATATGAAGTTAGCTATTCTCTGTGTTAATATATTTGACATTTACTTTTGCAATCTATTTGTCAAATTATACTGCATCTAAAATTACCGAGCACGTTTTATGATACTTGACATTTGATTTTGTACTCTGTTTCACAAGCCTTACTCTAATACGTACGTGCTAAGGAAGATGACATTTGACAATTTAACTAATTCATGAACCAATATGGTGTTGTTATATCTATGCTGATCGATTTACAGTTATTTTGGTCATCGGTTTCACTTACAGAAACTGTTAGATTAAGGTACGCGTATTTCCAAAGGTTTGTGATGATGGATGTTTTAATCTATCTGACAAACTGCCGTTACAATTTATGTTTACATCTAACAATATTTGGCAAGGTTTTATTTTGTGTGGTTGACAAACTAATTGTGTCTACTATTAAGTTGTTCGGATTTATAAGATACAGGTAGAGGATCCGTGAAGATCTGGGGTAGAATAGGTCTTCAGCAACCCATGCTTGCCGTAAAAGGTGACTATACTTGAGACTAAGAGGCGACTAAAGGGATCGGGTGGTCAGGCTCGCTGACTTGGTTGATGCATGTCATCGATCCCAATTGCGCGGATCGATGCTGATGATTTCAATCATTGGATTGTCTGATCCAGACTCTATTATTTACGCACTGCCGTCATATAGCTGGAATATTGCTGTGTGCGGCGTTAAACAACATGAAACTGAAAAAAAACCATACAAATATGAAAATTGGGATTTCGTTCACGCGCAATACAAAAGTTTGATCTCCAAGCCAAGTGGATTGTGGGATTTCAGCGACTCGTGTGTTTCAGTGCAATAGTGATAAAAAAACAAGAACAAAAAAAAAAACACCCCCAAAACAGCTGACATGGTGTGTTCCGACAGTGACGAGGGAAGACGCACCACGTTAAGTCAGTAAGTGTATCTGCATAAGGCTTTATCGGAAATTGGATTGCTTTTCAATTTTATAAACCTTCATGTACAAATACGTTTTGGTGAGTGTAGCGTCTTGATACAAAACACAACTATAATACCCGTATGAAATACATCACGGTCCAATAACTATTTCATGTTTGTTTCATATTTAGCCACCATCAAACATTGGTGTATACTTTCTTTTGCGCGTCAGTGTATTAGCAATATCCCAGCTATATCATGGCAAGTTACATCATGACTGGCTTAACACATTTTATCATCCGAAACTGGCTCCCACAGGAGATATCGCTTGGATGAGATCAAGCGATATCTACACTGTAGATATAGCTGCAATGAAATTACATCACAATGCTTTGCAGACCATTGTGACGTCACTGGTTACATGACGTCACAATCAAATGACATCACTAATGGCTCTGCTACTGAAGCTGTTTGCAGTACTTTTTACACTGAAGACACTGCTAATTACTGTCTACAAATTGAAAAAGTTGGAAGAATGATGTTGGATGATAAATAAAATCTCACCCTCGTGTCTTTGGATAGCCTCGGAATATTTCCACTTTTATCAACTCGTGTTGATATATTTGATATCAAAAGACATTCGGGTGAGATTGTCTATGTATCCATGTGGAACCGAACCCGGAACTTAGGCATTACACGCGAACACCTTTACCACATGGCTACGCTACCGCCCCTTATTCTATGGTATGCATATACAGTAAAGTACGGTTATTACGAACTCAAAGGGGCTGCTAATTTTAGTTCGTTATAAGCGCAGTTCGTTATAAGCATATATACAGTATAACAACAGCAAATAGTCGGGACCAAAAAAGTAAGTTCGTTATATCCGTCAGTTCGTTATAAGCGTGTTCGTTATAACCGTAGTTTACTGTATAGGGAACGAATAAATGCATGGGATATTAAAGAAATGAACGAAGAAAAGAACAAACAAACGGATGAAAGAATAGGACATAAATATGCAAGTGTAAAATATAATACATGTGTTCAATATATTCATAATAAATATATATGGAGGGAGATTTTAAACTGATTTATTAAACGAATAAATAGAGGATTAATATAATATATAATCAACAATATCAACAATGTAATACTGTGTTATTAACCAGTCGTCACGGGCGATGTCAATACCAGAGGTCATGTCGTCTTTTATGTCTTATTTTATAGTTTTCCACACTGCCAGCGCACGCTGACGACACGGAAACGCGGAACACGTTGATCCATCACTGACAGACGATGAAGAGTACTACATCACCCGCCATGTTTGTTGACGTCGATAGGCCACAAATAATTGATCCACTCTGGCTGTCAACAGAACAATCCACATGCTCGTGATCGCGATTACCTTCGTTTTATTCTTTACAGAAAAATACACATTCTTGATTGCGAGGTTAATGTGTCATTTCTGTGACGAGGCTAATGACGACCTTTGCCCTTCTCGTCGCCATTTTATCAACTTGGTTCCGTCTTCGCGCAAACGGGCATAGCGAAAACAATAGTCATCCGCCTCTGTTTTGTAGTGAGTGAGTGATTTGGGTTCACACAACGTGGCTTTGAACAGTGTTCCAGTTATATCACGTAGTGCCAGTTTAATGTAGGAGGAAAGCCCGAAGTGAAGCAGGTCTTAGACGTTTACCACTTAAGTGAAACCCACGAGCACGGGCCAACCCTAGAAACAATCGGGGCAAACCGGGATTCAAACCCACAATCATAGGTTTCACTGCAAAGCGATATGCGAAGCCTTATACGACTGGGCCACCCGTGTCCAGTCCTATGCTTTGTAAGTTTACATAATTATTTTATTGTTTTCTAAATATATTACCATTACCATTTACAAAACACTTGTTCGTCGTTATTGGGAAAGAAATGTTACCGTCACTTTGATATATTTTCCGATCTGCGTCACTCTGAATACTTTACAGAGCGGAAGGTCGGTGGTTCGATTCCCGGCTGCGTCAGACCAAAAGACGTTAAAAGATGGTACTTGTTGTTACCCTGCCTGGCGCTCGGCATTATGGGAATAAAACACGGACTGGTCAGCTTGGAATCAGTACGCTGTGTCTGAGTGGCGTATCCATGTTTAACTGCGGCCTGAACTGGCACTATAAAACCAACATTGGTCCGGACTAGTACGCGCACACTTAACCAGACAATCCAGTGATTGCTATTATGAGCAACGATCCACGCCGTCTGGGTACGATGACACGCAATCATAGGCAGGAGTATAATTTACGTGACTTTTGAATTACGTTACTTATTATTTACCTTAACAATCTAAATGCATGAGGCTGTAACAAGTGTTCAATGTTGAAATATGAGATGTACTGCTGCTGTAGACAGTACACCAGTCTGTATTGAAAGCGAGGCTTGAGGAAACACGCAGATCACAATATGGGCGTTACGACCGTTACGGTCTGGTGAACAACGCGAGAACCACGACCGACCCTGGACTTTTCATTAGGAAATCAACAAACAATCCATGTGAATATGTGAATCGCATTGTGCTTCATGTACACGGTGAAAGGAATGAGTGAGTGAGTGAGTATGGTTTTACGCCGCTTTAAGCAATATTCCAGCAATATCACGGCGGGGGACACCAGAAATGGGCTTCACACTTTGTACCCATGTCGGGAATCGAACCCGGGTTCGGCGTGACCAGCGAACGCTTTAACCACCAGGCTACCCGACCGCCCCTGAAAGGAATGACGTTTCATAATGATCTCTACAATGACGTTCAGTTTTGTTTGTTGTTTAACGCCGCACTCAGCAATATTCTAGCTGTATGGCTGCGGTCCGTAAATAATTGAGTCTGGATCAGACATTTAAGTGATTGACATAATGAGTATCGATCTACGCAATTGGAATACGATGACATTCGTCAACCAAGTCACCAAACCCGATCCCGTTAGTCGCCTCTTACGACTAGCAGAGGTTGCTGAAGACCGTTTCTAACCCGGATGTTCACAGAGTCACATTCAGCGTACCAGTAGGATAGTCTGTGGAAGACAGGTTATGGTTGCCTAGGATCTTCGAAAACATTAATATGATTAAGATCTAATGTTTGAACTACTGTGTGTTATTCGCGGGCTGAATGGGCTTTATTAAAAAATAATGATTCTGTTCAAGTTTGGTTGGGGCTTTGCTTGTATTAGCCGGATGTTGAAAACCAAGCAGCCTTCATTATACTTTTTAAACAAAGATTACATGATAAACTTTTTCAGTCACGGTATGCATGTAGGTCTATAGCAGCTGAGTTAGAAATATACCTGATCGAATAGGCGTCTCATGACCGGCATTTTGTAAACACAATCCAATATGGCGGAACGTACACTTCGGCGTTCTTGATGCGTATTTTTCAAAACATTCTAAACGATTCTAGGCTTATCAGCGACGTTGCAGAATTATCACCAGTGATTTGATACCCGTGATCACTAATGTGCTATTTTTCTACTTTAATTATTCGAGTAAATATCCAATATTTAGATTTCTAAACACACAGTAAATAACGCCGTGAATTGTGATTGCGATATTTAGAAAGTACCTAATTTCAGAAGTCACTTTCAGTAATTTTGCTTTGCCTAAAATGACAGTAAAAGATAAACAGAAGGGGAATTCAAAACTGTGAAGTGTATTGGTTTGCATGATGTATTTTGAATTTTATTCGAC